GCCAGGCTCAGATTGGATCCAGGTAGGAATGCTTGGCTCCTCCCCTGGGCGGGGCATCTCCCCATGGGATGCTGGGATTGGATCAGCCCTGCAGGGACACTCAGTGGCCATGGACAGCAGAGGTCTCCTGGAGGGAGGGTTGGCTGGGGCAGAGAGAAAGGGAAAACTGCCCATGGACAGCAGAGAACTGCCCAGCTCTGTCAGGTGGACATGGAATTCTCACCCCTAAACCACATCTTACACCCCGGGCCATTTTTTTCTTCTTGCCCCCCTAAGCAGTGTTTGTGGCTTATTTAGAACTTGGTTAAGGCATTTTGAGGGGAAATAGAAAATCATTATTTAAACAGTTAATTCCGTTGATTATTTTAGTCTTTTGGGATGGCAAATCTGAAACGTGCCCCCTGTGACATTTTCTGTTCCTCCTGGCAGGGAGCCGGTCTGTCGCTTCTACCACCGGCAGGTCAGGAGCAAACACTTGGCCATCAAAAAAATGAACGAAATCCAGAAAAACATCGACGGCTGGGAAGGCAAAGACATCGGGCAGTGCTGCAACGAGTTCATCATGGAAGGAGGGCTGACCAAAGTCGGGGCCAAGCACGAGCGCCACATCTTCCTCTTCGACGGGCTGCTGATCAGCTGCAAGGCCAACCACGGGCAGTCGCGGCTGCCCGGCTACAGCAGCGCCGAGTACAGGCTGAAGGAGAAGATCGTCATGAGGAAGGTGCAGGTGGTGGACAAGGAGGACACGGCCGAGTACAAGCACGCCTTCGAGCTGGTGTCCAAGGACGACAGCAGCGTGCTGTTCGCGGCCCGCTCGGCCGAGGAGAAGAGCACGTGGATGGCGGCGCTGGTGTCGCTGCAGTACCGCAGCACCCTGGACAGGATGCTGGACGCCGTGCTGCTGCAGGAGGAGAACGAGCAGCCCCTGAGGTTGCCCAGCCCCAGCGCCTATCGCTTCGTGGTGGAGGACTCCGAGGAGAACATCGTGTTTGAGGACAACCTGCAGAGCAGGAATGGCATCCCCATCATCAAAGGGGGCACGGTGGTGAAGCTCATCGAGAGGCTGACCTACCATATGTATGCAGGTATTCTCAGCTGGGGTATTCATCCTTTCATCTGCCCAGGGAGGTGATAGAGTCACTGCAGAGGGGGGCATATGTGGCCCGAAGTTTGGAGTCCGGCTAGCTGAGGGCGAAAGGCCGACGCCCCTCTGCAATTCCTGGCCAGC